AAAAGGTATTTGAAAATTCTGTTGAGATCTAAATAAATGTAGTTTACTTGAGAATTGCGTGATAGTTTGCGTTCATAAAACAATCACATATAAAAATACTTCAAATCCATGATAACTGCACTAAATGATTTAAAGATTAAAGGGTGGTTATAAACTAAATGTGGTGTCTGATACACTGCCCCATGTGTGTGGATCAGATCAAGTGTTCTCCACCTAGAGCATTTTATTGCTTTATTGCCTCAGATATCCGGAATGAAGCTGTTCAGAAAAACACTCTCACAGACGTCATATTGATTTGTTTCAAAAAAATCATTGGGCACTAAAACACGGCAAGGTTTTACGCGTTTTTTCGTTTTGTTACATATTATTTTACTTTAAAAATAACTTTATTGCAGCCAACGATAAAAAACCACGATAATGAAGAGATAAAATGAAAGAAGAGCGTTGCAAAATGTATCTAAATTTAGAATTGTGATGACAGTGGGTTATGTTTATCTAATGGTATTAATATATATTTTTTTCAGAAATAATCTGAAGACCATTGAACGTATAATAATTACGTATCGCTAGTATTTTCTAGTGACGTCAGTGTAACCGCCGTTATTGAATAAGTGCAACTTTGAGGGTTATTTATGGTACCACAGCGGTGTCATGAATGGCTATGGGGGAGCACGTGATTCCATTAAACTTTGTTTTATGGCCAGGGAGTTGACAAGCCAAAATATAATTCACATTGTATATTAGCAAGGAAGTGCAGATGGTTTGGAATTGCAGAGCGATCTTTGAATAGGTGGAAGCAAGGATTAACCTTTCTCGAATAATGGGCGCTTGTGCTTACTGGGACCTTGTCTTCAGTCGTCCTAAAAGTAAGCTTTACGTTTATATTTTTCGGGACTTTGTTTAAAAATACGTGCTTAGTATAACACTATTTGTAGATCTCTTCTGTGCATTCAGACTTCAGTTTCTTTTACATTTGCGAATGGGATTTGATTATTTAGTGAAACGTAATGGTATAAGGGTAATTAGAAAGTGTTATATTGAATACACAAACGACAACAGGTAATAGTTCATACGTAAGGACGCAAACAAAACTGGTGTATTTAAAGGTACATACGTATTACGAGAAAACTTAAATTTGAATACCTGCGTATGTATTTTGTTCTTGTATTTTAAATCAACGAGATTTTCAAGTGGCAGTGCTTTGATCCAATTCGAGTTTCCTCTTTTAAGTGCTCACTTGGAATTAATGTGATAAGCTATTTTTTCATTAGCAACATGCTGTGTGACGAAGCAAAAATACGAATGTAGGTGGACTAAGGTTCTTTTCGACCTGTTGTTAGCTGTTAGTTGTCCCTACAGGGAATGTGTGGGGGTGTGTAAAATATCAATGAGGCGACATTGCATTGGTTGAATGACTAAATAACCGACATTACCTCATATTTTTGTATTGGTCTGGAGGTGGCCAACGATAATTGTTTAATTTACAGGTAATGAGTACGTAGGCCTCTTTGGCTCTCAAAGTTTTTTTTTATTATTATTATTCTGCACAGCGCCCCCCAGGCCACAGCATGGTATTAGTCTCCTTACAAATATTTCTCTTATGCTTCCAGACGATTGTTGCACTTGTTATTCTAATTTTATTGGGTGCTTCCAATCACAGTAATTTTAATTTAAAAAGGCAACATACTTACTGTTTTTTAGCCATACAGTGGGTTCAGCCAATAGCATTCACGGGCGCATGGAGTAAGAAGCCGCAAACGCAGAGAAAAGTGCGAGTATATTTGGTATAAACATGGTAGTCTGAACACCAATTTGTACATTGATTAGCATAAGGAACACACAGGCCTACTTGCGAGAAATATTTAAAATCCACATGTCGCTTTAATTTATCCATCCGACTCATCATGGTCCCCTTATATTCGTGTATAGGTTAAAGTATCTTCGGTTTTATTTACGAATTAAAATGTTTATTGACAAAGCTTTGTAATTGTTTTGTTGTTATTGTTGCAAATGGCAGTGACTGTTTGTTTTATTGTATATACTTCATTTTAAAATATTCAGTTGCTACAGGCCTAAATAATTTTCTGATTATATGATTTCGCATTGCTTGTCTTAGTTTAATTTCTAAAAACTCCGAAATAATATCACTACGAAATACGCACATTGTGCGATTTCTGTAGGTATTGTAAACTATCTGCTCATATTATTTGAATTAGAAGATTGAAACGATCAAGACAACGTTTTTTCTAAAAAACCTTTTTATATTACAGCAATCGAATTAAACGCAAAACCAGCAACAACAACGAGGAAAGTTACGGTTTATGAACAAAATCAAATGTTACCAGTTTAATATTTACTGGACATTTTAAAACAGATGTGAATTATTAACACTTTTGTTGACCAGTAACTCGGCTTTGACCCGTCTGAAGAACAGCGCAGCAAGGTGAAACGCAGGTCACGCTGTCTGACAAATATGAAAATGCGACCCATCCAACTGGGGTGGCTCTTTATACGTAGAAAGAATGTTTTCGTCACAATAAAACAATGCAATGAAATGTTGTATGTTAATGTAACGCAAATAGCATACCTTTTAAATTATTTATTCAAAATAGTTAATATGTAATTCTTGCGTGATTCATAAAAATAATCAGACTTGATTGTAACTTATTAATAAAATAATTCCAGACGTTCAATAACTATTTTATACTATTAAGTACAAAGAAAATAAATCAAAATGCATTGAAATTCATTAGTACAGCGTTACATGATTTTTAAAGGTATAACTCAGCATCTAAATTATGCGTCTGCTTAGTACAGTAACTAAAACCAAAAACTAATTATTTGGTATGTAATATAATTAACGAAATACTATTCCTCAGGCGTACAGAGTGCTCTTGCATTTTCTGAAGGCCTTTCGATGCACCGATTCTACCAGACAACCTAGTTATCAGATGGGTCATGAAGAATTCGTGAACTTTTGTACTCCTGGCTAGAGCTGTCGGCAGCAAAAAATAATGAAACTTTGTGATATATTAGTAAATGATTTTGTTTGACCTCGTGGCCTTTAGCCTTTGCCTTATATGCGTCCACTCCTTATTCGAGCTTTGGACAGTGTGTTGAGCGCGTGGCCCGTAACTTTATTTTCGAGAAGTCGTGAGTAATTATTGAATTTTGGACATTTTCTTAGTCATATGTTTTAGGATGCGACTATATAAAATACTGGTTTATTAAAATATATTTATTGTGATAACTTGATTGTTCGTCCCACATAGCATGATGGAATATCTCTTATATAAATGTTACAATATTGCAATGCATGTTGCCAGTTTATTTAGTACGTGTATTTTAGACCGCACATAAGTTTTTAAATATTATTTACTAATTACTTTAATTCATTTTTATTGCTTTATCTACATAGATGCTAACAATGTAATAGTTTTTTTTCCACTCAGAATACCTGTGTTCATATGAATTCGAAACAATCACATAACTGGCTATTTTCCCACCCCTTTCTGTCATCTGAGCTTTATAATCCGTCGTCTATATATACCCTGTAGAACCGAATTTGTGTGAGACATCACGGTCACAGATTCGATTCTAGGGGAGTATATGGTCGATGCAAGAACTTCGATTTTGTTTGTGCATTATTTTGTTCGAAAATAAGCATTTCAGTAGTGGCATCAAATATTCTGTAGGTTGTGAATGAAGGACATTTTTGCAAGACGCTTCTATTGCATGCATTATGTCGACATTTGAGTTTGATTGAATTATTTGACAAATTAAGTGATTTTTTAAAATCACCATGGCATTTGTACTATCATAAAGGATGCAAAAAGCAATCTATGTGTTTGCCTCTAACTTTTGCCTACATCCATATTTGGTCAACTATATATAAGTTCTAAGAGAGTATTATTTAACAAAAGTTAATGAATAAACTATATTCAACACAAAATTTGCAGCATGCAACAGATTAATTGACATAAATATTGATAAACATGATAGGCAGCAGACAAAAGCAGCAAAACTTCAGTATTGAATTTTTATTGTTTTTGTCATACGTAAATTATTATATTTCATATTTTCCTATTGGTTCGCTTTACCGGTCATCAAGCTCTTTAGTTTGCTTTCAGAGGAGCAGATCAGATGAAACGATGAGATCCTTGTAACTTTTGGGTGACCCCTTTTCCACAAAGACGATCTCCATCAATTGTCTCGAGGCTTTATTCACCTCTTTTTGTGCCACGGGACGTTTTCTATCTTTTGTTTGTTTTTTTTTTCGCCAAGCGTTTCTCCCTCAATACTGGTTTATTCTAATTTGCAGCCGTTAAAATGTAACTAAAAAGTATCTAACCCAAAGTAATATTTGTCTCTATGGAGCTCATTATTTAATTAAGGAAGAATAGAAATTGTTAACTAACCGTCACAATTACCTTTGATATTATGCACTTTTATCTCGCCTTTGACTTATATATATATATATGTATATTACATCAGAAATATAATAATGCATCATTTTTATCTCGTATAACTTAAGTATATAGTAAAGTTTGTAAAAATTGCAGCTAGGTGTGCACTTACTCTATAATATACTCCCTTTACTATGATTGGCTGATCAGGTCACGTGGCTACCTAACTTTATTCAGTTGACAGCAAGTAGGAGGGCTTTATGGAGAGAGAAAAAAGACAACTCGAGAAAAATTAGTATTTTCTACCTTCAGAAATTAATGGCCATGAGTTCGTATATGGTGAACTCCAAGTATGTGGAGCCCAAATTTCCTCCTTGTGAGGAATATTCGCAGAACAGCTATATACCTGATCAAGGCACAGGGTATTACAATCCAGCGCAGGACACAGATTTCCAGCACCCAGGGATCTATTCACGGTCAAACTACAGCGAGCAGGCTTTCAGCTGTAACACGGTGCAGGGTTCCACAGTGCAGCCGCGAGGTCATGTACAGGAGCAAGCCAGTCTTCCTAGTCCATTCACCGCTCAGACCGAGCAATGCCCTTCGGTCCAAATGTCCGGCCCGCGGACCTGCGGGCAACAACAAAACACAAAGAACCAAAACGGGATACAAGCCAAGCAACCAGCAATAGTTTACCCATGGATGAAGAAAGTCCACGTTACAACGGGTAAGATTGACAGTCTCCCATCTCTCTCCATATCCTTTTGTGCAAGTTGTGTTCCAGTTCTCTTTCCACCCTACGAATCCTTCTGTGAAATATTTATGGGCTCTTTTGAAGGGGCCGCCAATTACACCAGTCATAAATTTTTATTGCTTAGGAAATAGGCCGCTAGCTATGTGGCCGGCTCACAGAGTTACTGAGTAGGCTACTTCACCGCTTCCACGACCAAAGCCTGCTGTATTTACGATTTCCTCTGAATCGTGTTTACTTTTGATTGGAGACATATTGTAAGAGTTTGACGTCTGTTTTGTTCAGTTTTATTTAATTAAAAAGTTAAGTACGAAATTTCCCCTGAGAGAGGCAGATACTTTGTAAACAGTGTTGCTTAGTTTTCTCACATTAGTATTTATTTCTTTCAGTGAATCCGGATTACACAGGACCTGAGCCAAAACGGTCCCGGACAGCGTATACAAGACAGCAGGTTTTGGAACTTGAAAAGGAATTTCATTTTAACAGGTATCTTACTAGGCGGCGTCGTATTGAGATCGCCCACACGCTCTGTCTCTCCGAGCGTCAGATCAAAATCTGGTTTCAGAACAGAAGAATGAAATGGAAAAAAGATCACAAACTCCCAAACACGAAAGGCAGATCATCGTCGGCATCCAGTCAGCATTTGCAAAGTGTTCAAAAGGACAACCAGACTGATATCACAACTTTATAAAAAAAAAGAAATCAGAAAGAGGAGGGAGCGCTTTTACTCTCTTCAAGTGCACAATGAACTGTATATAACAGACAGTATTACATCTGACTCTGCATGGTTTCCATACATGACATTTCTGGTCGTTGTCATTTAAAGTAAAACAGAAGCAAACATGACACAGTCTCCAGGCGCGTGTGTGGACTTTGTACTGAATTCCTATGAAGGCGACCATTGTAACTCTTAATTGGCACAGAAGATACAGGGCATCGTCAATTGCTTCAATGAGGTACAGTAGATCATTAGAAAAATACGATGCTGATTTTTTAAATCTCTTCTTAAAAGTCTAGTACTTTACTGTTGTAAAATTGCTAATTCTAATATCTTATGTGTATTTTACTGAAATGCCAAGTCTTTTGTGTGCTTTATAGCACGTCTCAGAAAACGGTCGGTGAATTTATGTTTATTTAAATGAAAGCAGAAATATATGTGAAGCTTTGTGCATATGAAATTGCTAGTGTTATGTGAAAAAAAGTAATTAAACTTTTTTAAGATGACTGGATGGATATAATTTTAAATAATAAAAGTAGCCACAACTACAAAATCTTCGGTTTGCTGTAGCGTTGATTTATTAGGTTCTTGAATTTTGAAATTGAGTTTGAAAACAACCGAAATAGACGAACGTTTAGATGTGGCGGTGTGTGCGTGATTTTTTGCTACTTAAAAGTTTCCTCTGAAAAAGTCCACTGATTTTTAAAAAACTGAGCTATATGCAATAAAACCGTCAGAGACTACGGCGCACAATCAGGACAGAATTGTCCTAGTGTCGAACAGAATACTCGACTGAATAACTCAGTTATAAATCCTGCCCTGACATGTTTGTAAACACCTTGCATTTTAAGATTCTGTGTCCTGTTCACCATATGTTATTTAAAGATATTAAATAAGAGTAATCCTACCTTGACCTATATTTTTGAAAATACTGTATAAAAGAATTCTTGTGTTTTATACTTATTTATATAATATTAATTCATTAAAATGTTCGTGTAAAATCAACTATACAGAACGCATCAAGGCTTCTGAGATACCCCATCTTGCAAGTTTTCAACGTAAAGAAATTATTTTCTGCTAATAAATTTCAAAATGTATATTGTCGGGTCGGCGTATTCACTTAAGTTTAATTTTAAATAAAAATTTATATATCTTCCACGTAAATCTGCAACATTACCTTGGCAGAGTTATTTGATTTTACGCTTAGGTAAAAGTGTTACATTGTGTATATGAACACGTTTGAAGGAACAGCATTACTTTGTCCTTAACCCATCCATTTATGCCTCTGGAGCCAGAACGAGATCTCTTTCACGTTCTGTTAATAAGTATGCTGAAATTCTTGAAATCCTTGTGCTTGGGCAGGAAATAAATAGACAAATAAGGAAGCTATCAAACAAATAATGATCATATATTTGACGCCGCTACTCACAAAAAAATACAAAATAATAAAACAAAACAAAAAACATTTTTTACTGAAGTTCGATGGAGCTTCAGCCATCGGTTCACCCAGAGGACACAGTTCTATTAGATTACCCGTATTTCAGCCGCGAGGACTGACCTCGAGACCCTTGACCCGCTGGACCCGAAGTCTTTTCCACCACACACAGGGTTTGCATTCATTTTTAGCAACTTTATTTCATACTTGACTATCGTATACTTAAATAACAATATTGTTATACTTTTTAAAATGAAACACTTCCGTTTTATCATTTTATATAGTCTTTGTTCAAATAAAATTGTTTGAAAGATCTCGGTTCTGATTATTTATTTTTCAGCACAAATGCCGTAGACTGCGTAGAAGAGAATTGTTCTACAAGCAGTTGCTGAATTAAGGATATGGTTTACAATAAATGGCCTCCAGGAATATATTTTAAATGTCTCATTTGTAATATTTCACATATTATATGTAGACGTTAAGAACATTTACGTCTCATTGTGGGTTTTGGTTAGGTTAGCTTGTAGGGAATGTTTTGGACACCTGTGTTTAGTTTTGATGTCAATTTACTGCGGGGTATGACAATACAGACAAAGAAGACAGAATATTCAGCTCTTTGCCTGATAAAAACCCCGAGTACGATTTTGCCACATTTCACTTATTTATGTTAGATATGCGGTCTTACTGCAATATCTTTTAATCTGACTCTTAAAAAATGGGAATAAATTTCTCTTTTAATTCTAACAATGAGGTCAACTTGGTTTTACTCGGCATGTAAAATACAGCATGGCTATTGCATATATATAAGGTCGTTTACGTTTTGTTTGGTTCGTACAAAAAAATCTGGTTGCGTAGTAAAGTCTAATAGCAAGATTTTAATCTGATTTGAAGCATTAAAGCAAATCTATGAAGACATTTAAAGCATCGACATATTCCTTTTAACTTATTTATTAAGGATATGCGCTCTGTATAATTAAAGATCTGTGTATTGCAAAACAATATTTCCCCCTCAGCACCAAAACCTTATAATAAACGAAAAGGAAACTTTAATTTATATTCCACTGAATCTTCCCACCAAAATATCACGGCATTAGCTCTTTCAGACATTGTATCTCATTTCAGCAGCGAAATGATTGTGGACGCGCGCGCGCACGCGCGGCTCACAATGCCCAAACAAACGGACATGACATGCAATGTCACTCCTGTAAGGTCACACTGATATGAAACATAATTCCAAAAATCAGCTACTGTTGATGTACTAATATTGAATTATATACAATGCAACCAAATACCTAACGGCGTATGGAAATTGAACTTTAATCTCAAGTTATTTTTCAGTTCAATATTACTTTTGTCTTATTTATCATAGGCTACTTCTAAATAACAACAAAATAATAAAAGTGGGTGTCTTTTATCTAAATAAATTAGACTAGTTTTATACTTTTTAAGTACAGAGGGGTCTGTTTTTGTATTCAGTGGGCATGCTTCATTAATATCAGGAATAGCAGTCACTTGAAAACGGTATTAAAGATGTAGAATAAAAATGATTTGTTGGACTGTATAACAAGAGTGTACAAAACCAATCTATTGCACAAGATTGGTCCACAGCGTGTTTTCTCTATTCGCCTTCTGGTAGAGACGCAAAAAAAATGAAAGCCATGGGCAGAGCCACTCGCAACAATGACACTGCTCCAAACATACCGCCGCTACGCTCACCAAGGTCCACAAACGGCCATGTTTGATATTCAGCTGCTCGCAGAAACTGTCTCTGCCTTGCAAGACCGCTCCTTAAGACATAATAAACTGTGCTGCCTGCATCCGAAGATATAACAGGGGGACTGTAAGGCTCTTTCTGTTTCTTTTTTTATTTGACCACGTGATTGTCTAAATAATTAATGCAGCACGTCCCCTAGAAACACGGCGTCGTCATTAATCGCGAGGACTCTATCAGACTTGAAAACTGAAGAGATCCCAAGAAAATAATATACAAACGGTCCGGTATTCAACGCTACTGTAGCCAGAACATTTGTTTAGGATCTGAGCAAATGGAAGCTTGGTAGGTAAACATTTAAGTTTCATTTTTAGCAAAAGGGTAAATGAACTTATCCGTCACTTATGTGATAAATAGCACCCTTTGGTACTTGCACTGGGGCTACCTTTAGACAGCCTGAAGTTGTAATGGGCTGCTATATGCTGACCTCTCGCTACTGAAGCCCTCTTCTTTACAGAATAAACCAGAGGTAAATTAACAACAAACAATGTTTGGGATTGTAACATTTATTTTGCTTTCATTGAAATCTCATGTCAAGATTTGTACAATTCTATGTCCACATATTCTTCAGTTAATTAAACGTGGTTCTATTTTTATAACGTGGCTTTAAAATCTGTGTAGTATAATTGGTCAGACATTGCTTGTTCTTAGAGGATTCGTGCAAGGGCCTCAGTTTGATTTATTGCAGGATCCTTTAGAAAAGGTGCCTTGCCGTCATGAGCTCATTCGTATATATTCACCTTGTTAAATATATTTACGTGCATGTGGTCATATAAGATACTATTTTAAATCTCCAGGAAGATGGATACATTAAATTTCATTTTGCTAGTAAGTCAAGAAAAATCGGAAACAAAGCGGAATAAAACAAAGGTTGCAATTTCTTAATGTTAAATGCACTGCATTGGTGATGGATAAGAAAATCCGAAAAATCTAATTCGGTTATATCAATCGATTTATTTTAAAAATATATTGAATCACAATCTATTGAAGTATTTATTTGTCGTATTTGTTTGCTCATATTCAGATAGTCTTGGGAAATGTTGGTGATATTACAACGATTGCAATTTTCATTCAGGGGAAAATGGGAGCGCTTTGAGCAGGGTGACAGTGTCTGTGCCGTTGTAAATCATTTCCCGTAAATCCTGAAAGGGTGCTAGGCTGCTGGGGGCCGGGCACGGACTGTAAATCTTTCAGTTTTATTGCCCCATGAACATATGCTGCGAAGGTAGAGGTCTTGCATCCTTTCCTCTGGACAGGTCTTCGCTCCGCCAGGTTCCCACCGTTAGGAAAAATTATCACTATCTTTTTCGGTTTTCGGTTTCCATTTTCCTGTGGGTTTCAGGAGTAGCAAATCACCATTTGAAAGCATTCTGCATTATTACAACAAAAACATAAACGGAACAAGCCATCAATGAAGAAAAAATATTTTAACTTTATGATTCGGCAAACGGTCATTGACAAAAAGCTATTGTATGCGCTACGTCATTTCATGCAGAATACAGTAACGTTTTATCTTCTCAGACCCGGTTATTGCTTTTCTATGTTTATCATTTGCGATGACATATATAGTTCTAAAAGAGTTCCATTGCTTTTTAAATGCAAATCTTAAAAACCATGAAACCGAAGTATTTGCAATATTTTTTATAAATATCGTAAGGGGGGTTGACGGTTTTGACAGTGTTTCAGACAGACTAGCCAAATGTCTAATAATTCCATAATTTCCTTTAGTCCTAAATATAATGGCTAATCGCTTCATAATTCAATGATTTTTAGTGTTAAGATATACTAACGTGCTATTATTGAATCTTTTTTTCCCAACACAAATTTCAAGCAAAAATGTATTTAATTCAAAAGCATTCTGCTTATTTAGGAGCAATATTTGTTTCACAAACTACTGCGGGAGATTGCGATCTCTAATTTCAATTTCAAACCAACGTCAAAAATATAGGCCTATATGTTTGGTTTATCAATCATGTTATGCAAAAATTATATAATTCCAGATATGATACTCTAAACGTGACAGTTCGAGGTAATTTAATTATCTGAAAACCTAAACGAGTGGGAACATTATTTTGCAGCAAAATACACAAAAAAATATTAATAAAATCAAATAATTAAAATTTAAGTGTACATAACTGTTAGGAATTTTTAAAAGGTTACATCGGTCACATTAGAAGCTGTCCAACAGAAATATCACTTGATATCACTGTAGTTCACAAAAATGAAACAATAGATGTATATTCTACTACGCCGTCTGTGATACTCCTTTAAAGTTCCGTAGTTTAGATGCGGATTTAGTGTGTTCGTTAAAATTACAAGCTAGAAGGAGATATATACGTGGGCACATGAATGAAACGCGCCTTCTTTAAAAAAAAAAGTGCATTTGTGAGGTAAAAGCGTGTTAAAGTCCCATCCTCAATTAGAACAATCCGCTACCCAGATCACGTGGACAAATATGCCAGTATTTTAAGGCAGTGCCTTTATTTGTTATTGTAAAGGGGTTCTGAAACGCTGGCAAAATCATGATTTTTCTTTACTTCAATAATTTTATCTGGAACGATAAATTATTATGTTTTTTAATCAGTGCCTGGTCAATGATTAGCAGTATTGTGGCATAAGGGTATCAACTGCATTCGCTCTTTATTGGTTGGGTGCGAGTCTCTTTCCATTCTATCGGGAATACTGTCTGCATTGGTATATGGAAATGTCTGAAAAACCGCAAGATCAGGTTTAGGACAGTATTGTCTGCAGACAAAGGGTGAAGGATATATTCTGGAGACTGCAGGTGAAGAAATTTATAGTGAGAACCTCGGGTTTATGATAAATTGATGCACAGGTAAGCAATTGCATAGCAAAATGCAACCTTTAACTGTAGGTTTAAATAATACTGGAATATAAATGTGATGTATTCCATTGAAAAGGTTAATCTTTATTAATGCTACTTCTCGCCTAATTGTTAAAAACGCCTGTTTTGCATACATTTTTTTCATTTTTAATCATTTTGTCGTTTTTACTATTCTCTGTGTTTTCGAGGTGGTTCATCAGACGCACGTCAGGTATATATTCTGACTGTGGAGATTTTTGTCTGATATACAATTTAGATGGTAAGCGAAATTTAAAGAATTAGTTGAGAAGGAAAAAGCTGGACTCATCATTGCAAGGATAGAATCTTACCATTGCAAGAATAGATTTTGACATATGTACTACATTAGGGATTATTATATAGCCTAATCATACAATTCTCTCTTCTCTATTTTTTAAGTAAAAGTATAATTTGTAATACGCATTTTAAGAAAATTCACTGTGAATCTTTTTAAATAGTTACTTATTATAACCTTTTATGCTTTCATGATATTTTTAAATCATCACTTTAAATAACCGCAAACGACTATAGTATCTTTTATTTTTCACTAGAAGCTAGGTTTGATTCTTTCGCTATCACGTTCTAGATGAACAACAAGACATTTTCAATTTCGGAATTTAATTTAATACTTAATCCTCAGACATCCTTCAATTTCGGTGTTTTAACGACAAAAATGATCGATCTTGACTTTGCACGTAAATTTGGAAAGGTGTACACAACGGACTTAAAAGTAGGAAAAACTAGGAACTTCATTTCATTGAAAATAAGACGACTTCGGCCCTTTTCTCGGGAACATGCCTGGAAGCTAAAGTCCTGACAAGTGAGCGCCTACAATCTAATTACCGAGATTTCCTATTTCATTCACCTAGACCGATTCACAGTTAGTTAGTTACCTATAAATTCTCTACACGTTCAATTTTCTGCATATCTTGGAAAATAGGCATACCGTCTACGTAATTATTTTGACACATTTTGCCGTATTTTCTATTTGCCCGTATTAGCGAAGAGGTATATATCCACTATATATCGATCATGGATCTTGAAACAATAGCTTCCCATTTCATAAAATCGACCCCGTGGTCAAAAAGAGGCAAAACAAATCGACAATGTAACAAGAAATAGTCACATCTATTTCGAAAACCATTCTTGTAAGTATGCAAATAATACCCTATTGTGTTATTATATCTACCAACTTACCGTAGCAATGCGTGGGCGAGATACATTGTTGCCTCAGAAAAGAGAACCACGCAAAGCAATTGAAATTACAATAAATAATCCCATTAAATACACACAGAACATGACGGACTCGTTCCTCTGGACCAGCGTTCTTTAGATGTAAGGTGGTTAAGTCATTCGTCCTTAATTAATAAATAATAGCAATAAATTAACTCCAGGGAGCCAAGACCACTAAAGTACTGTTAACGAAAAAGGCCAAGGATCGCAAATTTTCACCGTGAGCCTGCGTTCTTGTTGTTACTTAGATAAAATGGCTCTTCCTAATAGTGGTTATAAAGTATCGTATCTTCGAGCTTTGTTTTGGCATGAAAGACGACTGGTGAAAAGTTGGGTGATCGGATGCACTGTGACTTACTTGGAGGGCTTCCGTTCGTTGTTCATTAATCTGTGAGTTATTACTCAGCGTGCCAAAGGTCAGCCAAAAGGCTTATGACTGCTAAATATTTCTGGCCAGATATCCTTTGTGAGGATTCACTTGAGTCATTTTTTTCCACCACAGAAATAAGCGCTCAAGTTAAATTCATGACAACAATATACTCCTGTAATTTAAGATATTTCCTGAATTACATCCGTAACCACTGACACAGAGTACCGTTATTCTGTGCATTGCGGTTTGGACATAATGGATTCCGAGTGACTTTCATTTTGTATTACTGCACTAAAATACTTTTCTGAAATAAGATTTACGTAGCTAAATTTTTAGAACGTGATTTTTTTTTCACTTCCTCTCATTCACGAATTACTACTCAATATTTATTCTTTTCCTCTGAGACTGAAAACGATCGCTATTATTATTATTATTATTATTATTATTATTATTATTATTATGCCTGTTGTTGCTGACGTTGTAGTCATAGAACGAAATAGCTAATTTGTTAGTAGTGGCATATTAAGTTGAGGTATTATATTTAATGGGCGATGGTAGATAGAAGAGCAACAGTAACAAAGAATGCCTTGGTTGATAAATGGATTGTTTTTCTTCCTCCAGGTCAGGGCGTCCACAATGAGAAAGGCATAAAGGAAAAATTAAAACCCAAATCAGCACAACAAACGGTATGTATTTTTATTAATTAAATGCATTTAACATCATAAATGTCATTCTCCTATAAGACAAATTCTCTTGTAGCATAACACATACTTTTTACAAGTATGTATAAACAAAAAATGCTTTATGAATTATTTGCTGTCTTTGTTGCATTTAGTCATTTGGACAAAGAAAAAGTATTTTACCGTAAATTAAGTAATAAATAGTAATAAAACAGTATTTACAAAGGCTTTGTTAAAGATAGGCCTACCATAATCCAAGGCAGACTAACACAAAAACAAACACGCTGCCCAACAAATATGTCCCTAAAGTGGACTTGGAAGTATATACAAATCTATATATTAAACTGATTAAGTCCAATGACAAGAAACGCCAAATGTGGTCTTTTAAGCATTAATTGCGATCAGTACCATCCCAGAACACGGATATTCCTTTTGTCACATGTGTAACTCTTCATTCTTCTGCCCTTCGGACAATGTTTCTCTTTGGCATTTGCGGCAACATTTTGTTTCGATAATGGTTTGTGGAAGACGTTTGCTGGGTTTATATAAACTGGTCCACCATTCTTGCAAGGGAAGGAGTAGGGGGTTTCTTTTCGAGTCTTCCTCCTACGCTCAGACTGTTTTGCACTTCTGAAGGTAGCAACCATCGAGAAGTGTTTTTCTTTTCATTCCTCGGTGAGGCGTTTACTACCATAACATGGCCAGTCATAAATTTTACCACAGTCCACAGTGACAGGTGCATTGATATGCAGTGCGCGGATTTTCGGGCATCTTAATAACCACGGTATTTGGCTGTCCACTCGTATGTTTCATGTATCTTGGTATATTGTTTTAAATAATTAATTTAAAGCTCGAGCTACAGCGGGCATTTCCCTGCTATTTTCATCAGGCAGTAGAAAAGGGATGTAATACTTGAGGAGTAATTTTTCGTGCCAGAACATCTGTCCTAGTTCTACTTTAACATTTACGTTGAGATTAGCGCGGAATACACATTCATCTCGACAATAATTACCGCGAGGAGAGGCCGGAGAGCCGTGTTTTTGTAACGTTTGCCTGTAGCAAGGCTAAGACAATGCATTGCGCTGGAGACTGGATTACGGATATTCTTCCAAAGATCTCAAATGATTTCGCCGTTGGCGAAATTAGACAAACACCGCCACAGGGCTGGAGAAGTCAAATCTAGAATCAGCTGACCATTGTCGAAATGATTTATATCCTACACTTTTTAAAAAAGTTCAAGTAAAGTTCAGAAACAGACATATCGGCAAAAAAAACGTGTTTTAACGCCGTAGATGAACATGACATGTAGGCCTACGTTGAATTGCATATAAAAAAATAGGTGGCAGTTGTCAAAAATGTAATAATTTTGCATTCCAGTATACATTTTTAAAATGTTTCGGAATATTTCAACTATCCAATATAGCATAATTTATAACATGTTATGAAGTAATGAACAGGCTGGTTACCACTTTGCGGCCACTTACTGCCGTCTCAGTGGTATGCGATTCCGGTGTAGTGATATTTTTTCAGCTTCGTGCCCTGAAAGTTTATCTCTTATGAGTTTTGTCTTAGTTATGCTGGGGCACAGAAGTGAAAGGAATAATATGTGGCTCTCAATGCTGATGCGACCTTTTTCTTTGATCGATTTTGCACAAAGGGTGTCTTTACGGCACAAGTTAACTTTTAACTTTTTATTCTTCTTCTTTGTAACCCAAGGCTTTGAAAGCGAAAGGTTGTGGGATCTAAATATTTCGCATTTTTAACAAAATAGCAAAAAAACTAATATAGTTTCTTTCAATTTTTTCTGTCATATTTGTGATTTTGTCACCAAGTTGGGTTAAAGGTTTCTTTTCAATATAGCTACCATCGAATTTTATTTAATGCGATATTAAATTGCTACGAAAGAAAATGTATTCGTCTATTCGAATTTTATCTTCAAATGAAAATAAAAAGCTGTTTAAGGTAGAACATGGGACAGCTTCAAGGCAAGAACAGTAAGAAGTAATGAGCATTAAAGTTGTTATACGCTAAAAAAGCTTTTAATTATCACATTATAAAGCCTTGTTGTCGTTGTCGTTATTGTTATGTTTTTGCCTAAACTGGACGACTGGGTAAACTGGTTAGTTGCAGATTCCGGTGCCTTCAACAAAATAATGCACTTTGAAAAAGTAGTTTGAAAACCAATAACTGTCTTGTCATTTTAAATTGTTGTATTATTTTTGCAACATTGTTTTGAGGATTGAATATAAATGCTGGTAAAACTTTTACTGGGAAGCCCAATAACAAAACATTTTTCTGCTGAACCTCCCGAAACACTGACCAGCAGACATGGCTACATGTTACTTTACTTCATGCTTTCTTAACTGATTACATGGACTAGTGCAATATAATGCTGTAGAAATTTCCAAGTTAAATTTCATAATACAAACTTATGATCTGAATAACCAATGAATAGCAAAGACTCATGGTAAAATCAATGATGTGACAGTAGTGGTACACTAAGGCGATGATTGAACATTTGTAATTAGTTACGGAGTACATAAGCTGTTTAAGAGCAAGAAAGAATATTGAATATTAACTATATAATCGTTGTCTCTTGCCATAATAATGTCTTTCTTTGAAGAAGCAAAACGATATTCAAAGAAATGTGGATAAAAAACAAATAGTATCGTCAATTGCATATGAAGTAAATTGTAGGTATATACGAGCTAATAAGCCCCTGAAATCCATCCTATACCTAAAGGTCCACGTGGTTCGTTATGATTGAATTTCCCTGCCTCTCTATCGCAAATTCGTTTCTAAAACGTTTCAGGGTAAAAACAGCAATTAAATCTGCACGTATTTTAGTATAGCGGTGGTGACTTAACGTCTAACGTGTTCTCATTGTATCTTTACAGGTCAGAAAGGAGTGGGCGGTTCCTTTCACGTGACAGGTCAAAAAGCACCAATAAAAAGGAAAACAAAACTCATGTCATTGGATTAGGGCAGACTGGCCCGCTCGGTTTGAATCCCATAATGCAGAAAACCTCTTACTATGATAATTCTGGACTTTTTGGAGGTTATTCGTACCCCAAATCTGATTCTTTTAGCTATGGTTCCAGTCACCAGCCTTACCCCTCATCAAATATCGAAAATGATTTTCAGGGTCCAGTCTGCACAATACAAACATCAACAATTCGACCCCCAAATCATAAAAGTGGTGACATAAACGGCAGCTGCATGAGAACTGGTAACAGCCAAGGCAACAGCCAGCCAGTAAACATTGGTGAGCACCAGCAAGCACCTCCTCTGCCTGCCTCCTCACCGAACCCCAGCAGCGCTTCAACACAGAAAAAGAAGACATCCCCCAACGGGGCGTCTAATACTGCCACTCCTGTTATTACAAAGCAAATATTCCCATGGATGAAGGAATCCAGGCAGAACTCAAAGCAGAAAGGCAACAGCAACAGCTGCACTACTGCAGGTATTACAACTGAAGGGCTGCTACATCTGTGTGGGCTGTTTGTTGTGGATTGGATCCTGTTCTACGGATGTGTGTATTCCTGTGTGCCCATATTTAGAGGATAGGTAGAATGAGGTCTGTCAAAAACAATATAATCAGATATTTATAGTCTCGGATAGTTTGTTGAGATTATTCACAAAAATGTACTCTGATCTGAATTGTCTGACAATGACACAAAAACAATCAATCTGCAATTCAGCTGCATTGACGGTTTTATTTCCTATGAAAAATACAGACCCTGACTTCTTGGAGATTCAAATGTTCTTTAAATTGGAGTAATTTCAGAGCTGTGAAAGCAAAATCAGGAGTTATCATTAAAGGATGAATTCTAAAATTAATTTCAAAACCTTTTCAGTCTTTCATTCACAGGTTAAGTTAGTGCTGCTCTAAGCCATATAAACGCAATAAGGAATGGCATATAAATAACGGATTATATGTTCGGCTAGAATCACAAACATTAAGGTATACTTACAGCACAGAGACCTTTTAAATTTCATCTAAACCCCCACTTTGTAATCCTTATATGTGACAAATAAGATCACATTTTTTGTGTGTTTAAAAATGTAATATCGAAAGTGATACATTATTTATATATGTGGTTAAACATACAGAATAACATCAGTTTAATTAAAATGGTTGTGCTAAACAAATTATTGTGGTAATACTTTGGTTTGTCGTCAGCGGTTGTAGAACTGAGTATACATCTTTTTAATTAGAATGAGATCACGATGTTGCCTAGTGACATGCTATGCATTGTGTTCGATTGTATAAGTTGTATTCGCAACTACATGTCTTCTTACTTATTTCAGGCGACACCTGTGACGACAAAAGTCCACCAGGACCAGCCTCTAAGAGGGTCCGCACCGCCTACACCAGTGCTCAACTTGTTGAACTTGAAAAGGAATTCCATTTCAACCGTTATCTCTGTCGTCCCCGCAGAGTGGAAATGGCTAACCTATTGAATCTCACAGAGCGTCAAATAAAGATCTGGTTTCAGAACAGAAGGATGAAGTACAAAAAGGACCAAAAAGCCAAGGGTGTTATGCATTCGCCCATCGGCCATTCACCGGACAGGAGTCCACCGTTAAGTGGTGCGAATCACATCGGATATTCCGCTCAGCTCCCTAACGTAAACAGTATTAGCTACGACGCGCCCTCGCCTCCGTCTTTCGCCAAACCACAGCAAAACATGTACGGCTTGGCTGCATACACTGCACCATTAGGTGGCTGCATGCCGCAGCAGAAGAGGTACCCGGGCCCAGAATATGAACACCACACCATGCAAGGCAACGGTGGCTTTGCCAACACCAATTTACAAGGCAGCCCCGTGTACGTTGGAGGGAATTTCGTTGATTCAATGCCAGCTTCTGGCCCCATGTTCAACCTCGGCCATCTCCCTCATCCCTCATCCGCCAGCGTGGACTACAGCTGTGCCGCTCAGATTCCCGGCAGCCATCATCATGGACCCTGTGACCCCCATCCCACATACACAGACCTTACGTCTCACCATGCTTCTCAGGGTAGGATTCAGGACGCGCCTAAACTAACGCATCTGTAATGGAGTTCATCCGTGTGCTGAAGCGATGATCTCGCTATTTTATTACCTCAGTAGTTTAAAATACTTTATATAATTGCGCTTCAACAGTCACATGTATTAGCCCGTATTATTATTGTTATTATCGTTATCATGGCTGTTAGCCTGTTGTTTTTATATATAAAGCAGCAATGGTTCTTTTTCTTCACTAACGAAGATCCATCGACGGATTGTTTATCGTCATCTGTTTTATTTTCTAAAGTGCAATGCTAAACTGAAGAACTGAAAATTTTGTAACTTTTACTTGAAGGTAAGTCCTGTAGATCTGTTGAGTATTAGCGACCCGTTATAATACGGATAGCTCTTTCACAAAAGTAAAAGAAAAAAGGGGAAAAAACGATGTTTTTGTCTGCATTTGGTTTCAGTTCAGAAAGCATAATTTATTAGTTTATGTCAATATTTTATGACAGTTATCTCGATTAAGGTATTTATTATTTAAAGAGCTATTTTATACCATTTATTATTTATCATTGACTTCATGTAAGATATTTGTATGGACATCTGTAGAATTTATGCAACAATATTTGGACAGACTTACGTGGTACCGCACCACGACCCCCCCTTTTTAGTGAGTCGGTTTAAATGAAAAAAAAAATAGTTTGAAGCAGTTGTACAAGTGGCTGGTGTTTGTGGTTTTTGTAAGGATTCATTCTGACCAATTGTAGCTCTAATCTAAAATATGTTGTTATTCAATGATATATTCCTGGTTTGTTTTAATTGAAATGTCAGAAACTATTTAAAAAGAACGAAATTCAACATATTTCTTACAACAGATTGATTTTACTGTAGATATACAATGCCCGAGCATGTCATTGTTTGTGTTTGTTCAGATTCCCAGATCGATTTGTTACGTTCTCCCTTTCTCCGTTAGACCGTTCATGCATAAACAGACTAAGCACTAATGATATTGAAATGTTATATTTTAGTGTGTTGAACATTTTTGTAAATAAAGTGCTCAAAATAATGGATACCAGTAAAAACGAACCTTTCATTCCCCAAGTCTTGTGATTAAAATCAATTCAGTTCATGTACAGCGTGTTGAAAACGATTGTTTAAAACTAGGAAGCTTTAATTTTGTTTCTTTTAATACGTGCTTTTATTCATTAAACAGAACGACACCGTGCCGCACTAAGATCGCGAAGGAGACGGGGCTTTGTCCGCACACATACCGGACACACACACACAGTCACACACACACACAGACTCACAAACACAATAAGGCCACAGAAGGATGGGGGAAGGGGACGTTATACATGTCCTCTTCAGCGCGGTCTTAACCGGTGTCTTGAAAACAATTGGTTACTAAACAGCACTTTTTAAATTGTTGGCGTAAGAGCTGACAGTTCTGGAAAAAACTGACACACACACACACAAACACACGCACACACACACACACACACACACACACACACACACACACACACACACACACACAATCTAAAGTAAATGCCAAATAAGCATGTTTTAATCTTCAGTGCTGACACCTGAATGTGATTGTGACAAAGCGCAGCATTAAATCACTGTTCAGTTCTTGGTTTTATAAAAACAGTAAAAATTTGCTCGAAATGTGACAGAAATAACGAATGATAAACTATATTGTTCTCTTTAATCAACATTTGTAACAACTAGCAGTGACGGTGCTGTTCGGGTTAAAGTTATTTATACATGACTATTAAGGCATTGTTATAGATACAACATAGGCTGGTCTATTGTCACAACTTCCACTGGGTCACTGAATCATGTGACGGCAATATTTTCCTTGCATAAACCTGGAAGGTGATTCTTGCATTTTGTATCATGCCCTAACTGTTTGTTGTGGAATTAATTAAAAAAAAATTCAAGAAACTGAGAACTGCATGAATAAGTAGAGATGAAAAAAGGACTTTCAGAAAAAAAATGTTCATCATTAGCTTAGCCAATTGAATCCTTTCCTCTGGTTGCTAAGACGTCTTAAAGCTCATCAATCAAAATCTCGTCGCGTCCAGATTCAACAATGATTGCTCCTCCTTGACGAACTAGGCTTTATCATGGCGAGTTTAACACACATTTCAACATGCGCGACACCAAACTTCACTATCTATCGAATAAAAGAGTTATGTGCATATAACATAAGGTAACAAGCTTCTGTAACGTAATACGACTCTTCTACTGAGGGTACATTACATTTAGATACTATATAAATAAATACCAATAAATATTAAACTTGCTCGCTTATGTTTTATTCTGTTTTTTTAATGATACTTCAACAGAACTTTGGACAAAAAGAATAACGTATATAGCAGTTGTATGGAAGACAAACTATAGATGTTACGTATATGATATTTGTTGCCTTCGAGACTTATTACTCGTTCAGTCTTCTCGGGGAACTATTACATCACTGCGTTGTTTATGATGTAATGCCATTTTGTCTAGCGTACTATAAAAGGCGGCCATTTTATTATCGTCCATCCTGTTCAATACCCACGTAGGCATAATTTAATTTCATTTAATTTTCATTCCAGATAACGATGAGTTGAATAACTTGCGATGTGGATAGTTAACATAACAAGAAGATTAAAGGATTCCAGAAAGTACCTATATTAGATACCTGTCGAGACCAAGTAAACCGTCTTCGTAGTAGACGCACGCTAAGTCTGCATTTGTATAGAAATATACATACCTAGCAAAAAGAATATCTGGTGTCATATTAAATTATATTATCATATTAAACTTGATATTATAGTTGACGATGGGATTGGTCGTATACTGATGCTCTGCATCAATATACCTGGAATTGATTATTCAGAGAAGGAGAATAGCTTACCTTCTGTCAACCTGATAAACCACAAAGCCCAGGCGTTAAAGTTATTCTCCAGGGGACGAAAACGGTGTTTGCCGAGCATCGTGCTTTTATTTTACAGATTTTTCCAGTAGGTCGATACTTTCTTAGCAATTTAGATTCCACGGTGTTTCGTCCTCATGACACGAAATTCTTGTAATTTAACGAATCAGGAATTCTCATTATTAATGATAACGTGACAAATTTAATGTGACATTTGTACCTAAAAAGACTGAAACTCAGTTAACAGCATATTATACTGTTATATATTAAAATATTACGTCTAAATAATGATTTCTGAGTTGAAGGTGATGTGAAACGCATAACATTAGGGTAATACGTTTTAGACTGGAATATTAACATTAGCAAAATGTTTGTCAGGTGTTTCTATAATAAAGTACAGTGCCTTAATGCTTTATTATCTTCAGAAATGTTTAAAAAATTATTCTATTGATGAGGCAAACGGAAGACAAATATTGTTAGATAGTATGAAAACATTCTTGGTTAATTTAACTGATATTTTTTCATATTAGAAGGTAAATATTAACCCATAAATACAAATTGTACTGAAAGACTAAAGAAGTCATTCAGACTGAACAGTATTAAATTCATCGAAAATGCGTGTGAGCTTAGGTTACGATCATAGATATGAAAACAAATTCTGAAAACTTTTTAAGAACAACAGCATAAGGATGCAGCAATTTGGACAGCTTCCAGTGTTATAGACTGTGGAATGTATGTAGGGTCACATTTTATTAACAATAAAGTCATTTCATTACGTCAGTAATGATTGGAGCACTTTTTACAAGTGGGACAGGATTTCATCATAAATGTGGGTCAGTATGATATATTCGACTCTTAAACGATTGCAGTGATTTCAAATATATGTTATACTGGGCTTTGGGTTTTTAAAGAAAACGCCTGATACGTTTTGACTGGGTCGTAGGTTTTTAATTGTTAAAGCAGATTCTCAAAGCATCCTGATATTGTAAATTTTAAAGTCAATATTAGATTGTGACAGCATACACATATTATAAGGTTAAGGTTTTGCAATTATTAGCTTCGCTATAGTTAAAGACTCCACGTAACGGATCACACTCAGGGGTTTATTTATTGTATTTCCTGATTATGTCATCTTTCATGCCGTTTGAATTGGAGAATTTGATTGTTTTCAACGATTATTCCTGCTTATGGAAAGAATCTTTATTTTTTGGCTAGAAGTATATTGCAATCTGCTCCAGCAGAATCATTTCCTTATTTTATCCATTTTACGCGACAAAGCAGAAGACGCCTTCCAACCTTGGGCGCGCTCTCCTTTGTTATGGCCCGCTCAACCAAAACGCCCCACCTAAGCACGTGACGACATGCCGCACAGAGTGACATCTTATTGGTTTATAGAAATACAATAACCAACGCGAGAATGATCGGCACTTTAATTGGCTCCTCCAAAAAAGAGCACCTCCCATCTGTTGTGAAACTTATTTCATTTTCAATAAATGGCCTTTGTAAAATTCGTTTATAAATGACATGGTAGAAAGAAGTGGCCAGGGAACTACGGTAGTCATGATATTATTCATTGTCAGTCAATTCGAATGAACACATCCCTCTATTGTCGTTTCACTTCTTCTGAAGGCCCACAGCCAGATGGGATTCGTACTTATTAGTAAATGAAAATCGTAGTTATAGTACAGAATGTATATGTTTGATTTGGAGCAAGACAATTTGAATCGTGTTTCCATGGTTGGTTCAAGTCGAGAGAAAAACGCTAGGAACAGAACGCTTTAACTAGACTTGGATTTTGGGAAAATGACGAAGTTGGAATAATTGTAACTGACAATGAACAAATATATTGCAACATCCAAAAGAAAACAGTATTAATGTGTGTGTGTGTGTGTGTGTTTATAAATGTAACAGTAAAATAAAGTAAATAACAAAGAAATGGGATGCATTTACGAAGAATTTTTATTGCTTGATGTAATTAAAGTTATGAGTGGGAACCCTGACAGTGTGCTCTCATGTGAACCCGTGGCTATTGTAATAAGGTACTTTCACCCTATAGTCCTTGTGTTCAGTTTTTGACGAAGCATTTTTACATAGAAACCATACTCCCTTGTGATTGGTGGAAAGATCGCGTGGCCACGCCCTATGTTGTAGCGGTAATATTTACATCTTGAGCTTAGGAAGTACACTAAGCGAACACAATAAAGCGCGATGGTAATCATTGCAACGGATCACTGAAATGTAATAAATAAATTAATAATACTTAGACTATCGGTGTCGAAATCTTTAACCAATTAACAAAATAATCATCACAGAGATCAGAAATGTACAGTAGGCTACATGCCATGGATTCCATTGGAGCACCTGGTCGATACCATCAGGAGCGAACTACTGGGGTACGTGTGAAAAGCCTTATGACAATAACGCAAATGAAGCTGAGTTCAGTTACGTGGCTCAGGGAGCAGAGCACCAGTTAATGCGTGGATTTTACAATACAGCGGTTGGCAGCGAAGCGCATATCCTTTACAACAACTCGTTCACTGGAAGAATTTTGCTTCTACCAGCAGCGAAGGTGGTACCGTTCGCCGTCTTGAGAGAACCGTATAATACGCAGTTAAAAGCGTAGAAGCACATTTCTGTAGTAGGCTATTTAAAAATTCTCCAATTTTTTTTTTTTTTTTTTTTTTACAGAAATACACCTGACTTCGACTGAGGAGTGACAAGTAATCTATACAACATTTATGGTCTGTTGGACGAGCTTCTACACCGATCGCAGCTTTATTATGCGCCTGTTAAAACTAGTTTCATAACAGAAGGATGAAACAGAGGAAGGCCGTGCCGCCTGTCTCTCTTTTCAAAGAACCCGGACTCATCCTCAGAGCTCAATTCCCTGTACTCCACCCTGCTTCCCCCTGTTCCTCTCAACCCTGTTCTCCCCACAGAAGTTAATGATGCGTTCAAAATGAAAGAGTTATAGCGTGAATATTTATGGGATGTCCTTGTTAAAGGTGGAAAAACAACAGTTGGTGGTGACGGGTGTGGTATTCCACTTATATTCACGTTATAATCAATTTTGAATGAAAAGTAAAATTACTGGCTTTTGTTTATGTCTAGCAACCTCTGTAAGCGATAAAGACAATCACAACGGTAATGACAGCGTGTTCCAGTATGGTTGGTCATATTAAATAATTTAATTGCTCAAATTGTACTCCTGCAATACACAATAAATCTGTTTTTGCCGACATTGATGTTGCACTCAAAGTATTTCAGATTGAAAACTCTAAGTAAAAAGTAGTGACATACGCATAATGTTCCTCAAGTCAGGTCAAGCTTTCTTGTCATATCAGCCATGTAGAATACACAGTGAAACAAAGTAACACTCCTTCTGAATCCATGGTGTAACATTTGTGACAGGACAGAGTTTGAAATTATTTTATATAGGTCACAAACTCCTGTACAATTATCAATAATTTTAGGTAATGGGAGCCAAAGGGAAGACTACTACCTGTACTTTCTACATAACACAACTATTCACACTAGACCAATTAACACTTGGATTGTGCAATCATTCAATTCATGAATTTTAATTGCAGGGCTATAAATAGCTTAAAAATATCTTGCACTAGCCGATAATGCTTTTTGGCAACAAGGTGGTTATCTTCTTCACACCTTTTTAAGTTGTAGGCCTATGTAGTAACACACTAGGCCAGCATTTTGCCATGTATTTTTTTGTAAGTCAGCAACATTTTCTCTTGACATTTGTCCTTTCGTCTATGTAGGAATTATCCCTGCAGATGTGTTAACGAATATAACCTATTCAGCACATTTTTCTTCTAGTAATAAATGAATCTTGCAGATGTAGGGATGCATATTCAGACTTGCAGCAGGGATCAAGCAAGAATTATTAAGGGGACCCCCTGCCCCAATTTGCTAGAGGTAAACATGAAAAGCCATAGTATCTGGTTTTCCTAGGTTAAACTCAAGACCTTGATCTTGATACTCAGTGTATGACTTCAACAGAAACGCAATCTTTCTACAAAAGAGAAGAGCATCTTAAAGGAGATAAGGGCAGAACTTATGTGTAATTCTTAATTTCCCCGTGTGAAAAACTGATGACAGCAAAAACCCATCATTTAGGCCAAAATCACTAACATAATTACAGGTGACATCATCACTTACTGTACAGAATTAGTCCGTCATGAGAATATGTTCTGGCCTTAATTTATGTAAGCAGATTTGATTCTGCAGATGCGGTATTCATCAGATATAAAAAAACATGGACAATTTTTTGGAAAAGGATCTGTCAGGTCAAAAACTGTATAATAAATTTTATGGCCAAAGTATTATCACACAGATTAAAAGGAAGATTACAATGACAGGAAATACTGCTAATGAAACGTTTAATGACCTCTTTATTTGGATAAGGGTGGTGTGCCATGCATATCTCTTAACAAGTGGTCTATTTAAAGTCCCGGAATGATTTCTCTGCTAATGTTCAGATACATTATGACTTTAACAGCTCCATGTAAGCACATTTATAATGAGGAAACTAAAAAAATATGTTGGATGTAAGTATGGAATTTATTTAATATAATTACAAAGAATGTGTATCACATAAATAGATAAACAAAACAGCTATATTATCCATAGTATACATGTGAATAATGTAAAATGTAAAATCAGTGATGACTATATAACCATTAAGTCTATATTAAATCCAGTTGTGTTTTCATTTATAGCAATATATCTAAATATACCAAAATGGATGGAAAGCTTTATTTGAAACTTGAAACTCTTCCGACAAAATATAATCTAAACTGGATAGTAGCTGTTTACTTGGCACAGCTCTGCCAGCGCTCTTCTTAGTAGTTTTGCCCAGACATACCATAGTAGCCAGGGCATCCCGCACGGACAGAAGATTTCCTTCCACAGCCAAAGCTGATGCTTTTACTAGTCTTTGTCTGGTCTTTGACCCAAGGGTGCTCCATTCAGTTACTCTTAAATCATTCCTGTGGAATGCTCATTATTTAATTTACACATGCTGTTCCCCCGGGTAGATAGTTGGGGAAGCCTTTCTCAGATCCACATATACGCTTTTCGAAATTAAAATTAGAGTAATTCTGGACGGGTGTAGGTGACCATATGCTAATTGTTTCCCATATTTGTCCACAGAAAGAAACAACAATATAAACAATGCGCAAGATTGTTTTACCTCGGAAAAAAAAATCCTTGTCATTGGTGATGAATAGTGAGCCATTCAGTGTACACCACTGAGTTACATAGCTGGAAACAGTGAGCGGATAGAAGTGTGCAGCATGCATTTGTGTGATAGACGTTTATTTTTCAAAGTTGCAATTTTAACACAAGCCATTTCGAGTTATCTCTAAGTAACATGCTTAAAAATTCATGGTGTAAAAACTAGCTGTTTGTGACTGGTGTGCGAGCAGAGTATTAATCATTGCATTGTCCTCCTGGACAGCATGCATAATTAAAAGGGAAAGAAAAAAAATGCATTTTCTAATTCCTATTACATCCTTTTCAACATACTATAGTGTTGTTTTATATGGTTGCACTTTTACATTCAGGGTCTTAGCTGATCCATTTGTCTAAAGCAAGTTAGAATATTGTAACTATTTTTACCATTGGATATTTTACGCTTCTCAAGAGTAGAACAACAGTGCATCTCCTGGGACTTGAGCCAGCAACCTTCAGGTAACAGGTATATGTCCTAAAGTTCTGCACTACCTGCTGCCTATAGAATACATATGGAGAAGAGAGGAACCCTGGGAAGGTTGTGTATGTCATTTCTTATTAAACCCAATGTGATTTCAGTAAAGGTTTGTTTCTGTGGAATCATTTACTGACGGTCTAAGATTTAATTGCCCTTTGCCTGTCTGTCAAGAGAGACCTTAACACTTCATATTAAACTATCTATTCTTATATATATAACATGAGTGTCAAACTGCAGTCCTGGGGGACGGAGCCCTGCACATTTTTGGGTTTCCCCTCATTTAACACACCTGATTCAACTCCTTGTCCTAATTACCACACAGCTCTTGAGGTGAATCATTTGTGGGAAAGAACTGTGATACACAGAGCCCCAGGACTACAATTTGACACCACTGATATATAATATCACAGAGTGATTCCTGTTTCTCAATATCCTGATTTCCTTTAATATTCTAAAACTATCTCAGGTATTTACTTTTCTGAAAGAAATGTAACAGAATGAAACATGAAATAAAAGCGACTACATTAAATGATAAGGAATCGCGTACTGACCCAGTACTGACCTAACAAAACATTATTGTAATATGAATAATTTGAGATGATTGGGAAGTTTTATTCAAATGATTCTCTAGCTTGCATAAACATAAATGATTGAATTGAAAAGTATAAAATCACAGTTTGAGGGGAAATCTGAAGAACAAGACAAGGTTAAATTTGTCAAAAAAAAAAAACCCAATATCCGACGTGTTAACGATATTTAATTGGTCTATTTAATATTTTTATTGTAAAGCGCTATGAAAAGGTGGATCCTTCGGTATCCAGAAAACAGTAAATGCAATATTTCAATAGGGTGACAGGAAGCTTAATTTGTGCAGATTTCTATTCTTGGAAATAGCTTGGATCCATTACTCAATAATTTTTTAATGCAATTTTTAAAATTAAAATGTGATGCTGCAATTTATACATGTCCCTGTGCGTTTCGGTGCTGTGTTGTAAAAACATTACATCACAGCTGGCGTATTTTTAAAAAGAAATAAAAATATATCCAGTTTGAATATGGAACACATAACATGAGCAGAAGGTTTAACTAAGGATAACGTGAGCCTGACACGGTGTTCAAGGTCACGGCCAGGCAAACCATTTTTATTCCAGGCAGATTAGCCGTGGAAGACTTTAATTATGTACACCATTTGTTTCATACAGCCAAAGATCTCAATGATATCCCAGCTACCGAAGGCTCTGCCTTTCACTCCTCAATTAACGGCGAGGGCATTACTGTGACACGGAAGACGGTGCGATCCAAGTACGCTTTTTGACAGGGGACGGATTAGCAGTAGGACGAAAGCAAGCGATGACGACAGCCTCCAAAGTCATACTCTGTCAGAGGAATAAACGTTTTCCTTTATTCAAACACAAAGAGGAATTTATTTGTCTTATTTCTGCCCAAACCCTTGCCCCTTTTCTATCCTCCGTGCGAATTTAGCGTAAGGAGGTCCTCTGTTATTGACCTGTTCTTCAGGCTGCTGTGGGTTGAATAAAATGATGTAGCAGGAAGGTCTGGTAGATATACAATCCTAATAGCTGAGCCGGCAGATTTGTGATGGTTTGAGGTAATGTACAGCTTTACAAAAAAAGGGTACCGTTAACACCAAGTACGAAGATTTGGGCTGGCGTTAGCAGCTCTTCATATATCATAAGATCACATTATAGCCCCCATTTGGGGCCCCGTAGCACGCCACAGTTGTCAGACGACTGCCGAATAATGAAGACTAATAGTAACCAACCACAGTCCTCTAACCAGATAGTTTTTATTGCAGCAAACTTGTCATTTTTCTTTGCCATGTCAGCCTCAGACAAGGTTTACAACAGTCATTCATGGGGATTTTTCTACCACAGCATAAGCAGCTGATATGTCCGAAAGCGTGTTAGCATAGATGTATGCACGGGTCATCGCGGGGTCCGGCCGGGATGTAAACTTTGACGTGCAAAGTTAACCCTTTCCCTCTAAGCTGATTCCTCATAGCCTATGACTTCATATTTCTTTATGCCGCGTCAGACTCACTCACTGTAGAGTTTTTTTTTTAAGGCAAACTGCTCCTGTCCCTTTTACGATTGCACAAATGAAAGGGATAACTTATGCATGTAGGCTAAGCGTTGCTTAACGAGCAGCTCTTGCAAACCATATTAACAATATTAATATTCATGAAATAATACAAGTCCTTATTACAGGACCTTTTGTCTACTTGAATTGCTGACCCTAGTAATTTTGTTAGTTCCCATACGTTCTTATTAGCTCAACCATAACACTTTGTAATGCAAAAAACTTTTATATCCACTGTATTTCCGAAAGGCGGAATATATTTCTCGCCTGTTAGTTTGTCGCCAAAACAAATACATGCATTTTCAAATTACAATAATGCATTTTTTAAACCCGAGCAGCCGTGGAGGGTGTACTCAATCACGGTTTGAAATGACACCGCTGTATTTGGAACAGACAAGTTACCTGAGTGTAGAGGCTAAAATTATCTGTACGGATCAAAATGAATGGTGCAGAATAAAACGGTCACTCCATCTGTTCGGGACCGTACTGCCGCCCTCGGGTTTCGCCAAACATAAAAGGCAACTCGCTGCGCATGTAAGAAAAGTGTGCAGTGAGAAGTCTCTGTCCGGTGCTTCACACGCGCAAACACATACATAAAGAGTACCGTTTCCTTTTTCGCCGTGACCCTTACGTTCACCTGTTACATCCTCTTCAATATGAAATTACGAGTGAATAAATTGCGTGCTCATTCATCTTCAACACCCCTCTGCGATGACTGTGATTCCTGGCTTTCGGCGCTCCCAAGAAGAATTGCGTTACATCATTATATTAGTCTTTTGCTACACTGAGAAATTGATTGTTAAGGAAAATGAACCTGGCTTTGCTATAAATTACACCTATGGATCCCGAGGAATCTGTTATTTTGTTTAAAATGGTATCTAATATAATTAGAGTTCTAATTTATGTTAAGCTACAAGTGTGCCTATTACAGTAACAGGGTTTGGAATTTAATCTGTCTGAGGGATAAAGGATGATCCAGTACACTTTTCATTTGTAATCTCAGACACGTTATTTCAGTAAAATAGTCTGCAACCATTAGATATAAAAAATGGATTACGATACAGACAGCTTTATTCATGATTTTCATTTTTGAAGTTAACAGTTCACCCACGAAGCCGGAAAAGTTTTAAAATGGGTAATTAAACAACTTATCATAGGCTGGCGACACCTTAAGTATAACAACGGAAGTCCTAGCCACTGGAAGGATGAAGACCTTACCTGCATAAGGAAAATTAATCAGTATCACATTCAGCCAAGGAGCGTATCACTTGGGAGTATTATGCATAGGTAGAATTGTACAGTTAATTTGAGCATCATCTCCTTTGAGTGCTGCAGGGCATCTCTATAAGCCGTGGAAGTACTTTGGTGTGCAGGAGGAGATGAAAAAAAAAACCAATAAACCAATCTGCTGGTTCTTTTATATTTTTTCTGCATATAAAGGGCGCATGCCGCCGAATGCTATCAGTTTGTCCACAGCGCCACCGTAGGAATATTTGCAAATTGCACTCATGAACCTTCAGGGTAAGAGCGCACGGTCAAATCCTAACTCTGGTGTGTTCGTGATGTGCACGTGAAGGAGTGCGTCCCGATGACAGAGGAGAGGAATATGAATGCTCGTTCAACTTATGCAGAACTTCATGGGTAACCGAAAATAAAAGAAATACACGCTGATTAACCTGTTCACTTATCCCACCCAAGGAACCCTGGTGTGATCCTCAGCAGATGGACGGAGCTCTGTGAGATGACTTCCACACTTGCCTCATAAAGCCAAGGTGATTTTTT